CCTACATGTGCCCCAGAGAGCACTGAGGTTAGGGTCGCAGCATCGTTTGACCCTCCCTGGACCGAAAGAAGCCAGGCTGACTATCACCAGAGCCAGGGCCTTCTCAGTGGCGGCCCCATACTGGTGGAATGAGTTCCCGGTGGACATCCGCAGGGCCTGTAAAACGGAGCTCCTCAACCAGGCTTTCGGTTAGGAGCCGCCACTGATGAATGTGCCCTGGAACATCTTCTGGCCTGAAATCTAGAACGTCTTCTGGCCTGAGACCTCGCTGGATGCTACTCCTATCATTGGGTATGGTTTGGATTATCGCCACCATCTGTCGGTTTTACTTGTAGACTGTTGCTGTTTTAACTTGGTATTGTTTATGTTGTTTTAACTCTGTTAGCTGCCTTGAGCCACCATGCCCGGCAAGGCGAGATACAAACAGAAGTAATAAATAAACAAACAAACAAATAGTAACTCAGGTAGCAAACCTTAGGCTTTCTTTTTAGTGTGTGATGGCTTGCTGTTTATGACCTTTGTCGTGAAAACAGCAGGGCTCTTTTTGTAGAAAAAGCCCAGCAGGAACTCATTAGCATAATAGGCCAAACCCAACAGCATATTAGGCCACACCCCTGAGAGCACAGCTCATTAGCACATTAGGCCACACCCCCATGTTACCAGAAGTGTTGTCATCCAGCCACACCCACCTTTTGCTTCTTATTCTGTTTACCTTGTTTGTGGTCAAAACGGTTGAGTGAGGGCTCTTTTTGTAGCAGGAACTCCTTTGCACCCCTAATGTAGCCAATCCTAATGAGTTTCTGCTGTTGGGTATGGCCTATTATGCTAATGATTTCCTGCTGGGCGTGGCCAACTTGGGAGCCAGCTGGAACTCCATTCCTGTGCGTTCCTGCCCAAAAATAGCCCTGGAAAACAGTAATTAAGAAGATTCCTGTTGTCATATACAACATGATCTGGTTTTGGGAGACCAGAGTGCTTGTATGTTTTCAGTCACACAGAGACCTTGGCTAGCTCTTATCTGTCTGGACTGGGCCTTACTGTTTTTATTTCTGGTGATGTTGCCACTCGCTTGCTCCCTGTTCTATATGGTCCGGGCTATCTTTGTTTTTATTACGTACAATGGGACTTGGGTTGCTCCAAAGCCTGGAATGCAGGTATCAGTATGGCAGAAATCATACAGAGATGATAGGTCATCAGATTTTCATGTCAGTGAAAACAACTAGGAATTTAGCCCCAGTTGTGAATACAATCATAACTGGGAACTGGGGAAAGAATAAAAAAGTACTTGTCATGCTGCAGAGTTGTTAGCCATGCCGAAATGGATTTGCCAAACACACCTTCCATTTTAGTCTGCAGGGGGGGGGGGTGTTCCATACAAAACTCAATTTTCTTTTACTTTATGATGCAAAATTCAGATTTTGGTGGCTTGCTGGATAACAAATGTCAGTATCTCAGTGGTCAAATCCCAAATGGCAAAATCCAGTTTCCATGTCTGGAACCAGATATCAGCCAAATATTCATAGTTCATCCGATTTCATTCCAAAATAAAGTGATTTAGATGTACAAATGTTCACTGAACTTAAGTTGAAATTCCGTTTCAGTTTTAATTCGTAGCACACATGGAGATGATTGGGAACCACTGGGTTGGATCCAGCCACTGTTTGACACCTGATAACTGAAGAGCAATTATTAACATAGTTCAAAAAAAAATTAAGCTTTCTAAACTCCTAAAATATGAGAACTGGTTGGGTTACTTCATATGCTTCTAACCAACATTCCACTTTTCATAGCACCCGTATATATTTTCATCTAATTGTAGAGAACAACCACTGAATCTAATTTGATAAATCAGATTAGTACTCTCCAAAACAATGAGAGCTGAACGAAATATTGGCAAATATTGAGAAGTGCAACAAATGTACCATATTTTGAGTGAGAAATTTCCAATTCAGAATTTGAATTTACCTTTTGAAAGGGGCGTTTGAACCTTGAACACTTTTGATGGCCTCTGTCAACAGTTTTGGTTTGGCCAGGCTTCCCGTATAAAAATCTCAAAATGTCAGTGGTTAAATACTAATTACTGTTGTATGTCATCTATCTGATGCTGTTGAATTAACAAGGCATTAAATATATTCAGACAGAAATGCCACGGCATACCGGTCATCGGACATTATTCAGTAGGATAGGCCAGTGATTTTCCAAATTGTCATCTCAGGATCCAGAATTATTTGGAAAGGTTTTTTTGATTGAAAATGGCAGACAAGGTTTCGCAAAAGAGAGACGCTCCAATATGGTGATCTTTCTAGGAGAATGTTGGGTGTGTTCCCAGGTCACACTGTGATCCAATCATACTCTTCTGAACATTTTTTGGAATCCTCTGCAGCATGCTCAGACAAATCAATGTGGGAAATAGACCTTGCAGGTAGGGTTGCCAGTCCCCAGTTGGGGGCGGGGGATTCCCTGGTTTTGCAGGCTCTTGCCCGCTGCCAGCCACCTGGCTGGTGGGAGGAAATTCCCCCCCCCAACAGCAACCTGGAGCAATGTGCCAATGTTACCCAGACGTGACGTAGGCACGTCGGTGACGTCGGGGTGTGTGTGACACTCTGGCTTTTGGGCAAAACTCTATGGTTTGATGGTGATTTTACCATAGAGTTTTGCCCAAAAACCAGAGCATTGCCTATGTCACTTTCAGGTGATGTAGGCACAGTGCACAACATCACTTCCTGTGATGACAGCACATCGGGAGTGACACTTCCGGCTCCCGAAACTTCCCCCCCATCGGCATCTCAAAGGGACCTGGCGACTCTACTTTCAGGTAGATCTCATACAGACTGGACCAATGCCTGTTGGGCTACATGCATGTATACTCCGTTCCCACATTACATGAGATCAGACTTGGGATAGGGATGCCTTGATTAAAGGCTGCGGTCATAATCCCCCCCTCCCACATGATGTCTTTACGTACTTTGAGGAAAGTGCAGATAAACCAGATAGTTTTTCAGTCGGGGGAAGACAGAGAAAACACATGGCAGAGAGTGGGTGCTCTTTTAACCTAACCTTTTCCTTTAAACCTTTTCTCCTTGGTTATGACGCCTGCTAATTGTTTGTGTGCTTTTGCCTCTTACCAAGCTCAGTGTGCATCGACCAGAAGGAGCCAATTCCCCATGACTTAACGTTTATTTGTATGCACTTCTTTCATCAGGAGCAGATACACAGTGGCTTACGCAGCCCAGAAGCCCTGGCTCCTGAATGCCACAGTGGAGGAAAACATCACCTTCGGGAGCCCATTTATCAAACAGAGGTAGAGCACAATTTCTTTTTGCTTTGAACAGCTGTCTGAATTCCAGCGTTGGTCTTGATTAGAGCTAGAAGACGAGGGGAAATGGATGGGTCAGGCAGATGGAAAGCACAAGAAATGGTTGGAGCATCTTCCCTGCGAGGAAAGATTAAGGAGTGTGGGGCTTTTCAGTTTAGAAAAGAAATGACTAAAGGGAACATGAGAGAGGTTTATAAAACTATGCATGCGGTGGAGAGAGTTGGCAAAGAGAAAATTTTCTCCATCTCCACAAATACTAGAACACAGTTGCATCAAATGATGCCCTCTTCCTACGTTCTTCGGATGCTGGACTAGATGGACCACTGGTCTGATCCAGCAGGGCTCTTCTTATGTTCTTCAGATGCTGGACTAGATGGACCACTGGTCTGATCCAGCAGGGCTCTTCTTATGTCCTTCAGATGCTGATGGACCACTGGTCTGCTCCAGCAGGGCTCTTCTTATGTTTTAGTATACTGGACTAGATGGACCCCTGGTCTGATCCAGCAGGGCTCTTCTTATGTTCTTAGGATGCTGAACTAGATGGACCACTGGTCTGATCCAGCAGGGCTCTTCTTGTGTTCGTAGGATGCTGAACTAGATGGACCACTGGTCTGATCCAGCAGTGCTCTTCTTATGTTCTTAGGATGCTGAACTAGATGGACCACTGGTCTGCTCCAGCAGTGCTCTTCTTATGTCCTTCAGATGCTGGACTAGATGGACCACTGGTCTGATCCAGCAGGGCTCTCCTTATGTTTTTAGTATACTGGACTAGATGGACCACTGGTCTGATCCAGCAGGGCTCTTCTT